GAGACTCTGTCTCAAAAAAAATCAACAACAACATAAAACTCACAGTGAGACACCACTTCACACCTAGTAGGCCAGGATCACATAATTGGATTGCTGGTGCCAATATCTGGTCTCAGGTATGTCTCTAAAGCCTGGGCATTTGCATGATATTGCCCTACCTGCTAGCAGAGCCTGTGTTCAGATCCAAAGTTGCTATCTTTTTTTTTTTTTTTTTTTGAGACAGAGTCTGGCTTTGTTGCCAGGCTAGAGTGAGTGCCCTGGCGTCAGCCTAGCTCACAGCAACCTCAAACTCCTGGGCTCAAGCAATCCTTCTGCCTCAGCCTCCCAAGTAGCTGGGACTACAGGCATGCGCCACCATGCCTGGCTAATTTTTTCATAATATTAGTTGGCCAATTAATTGTTTCTATTTATAGTAGAGATGGGGTCTCGCTCTTGCTCAGGCTGATTTCAAACTCCTGACCTTGAGCAATCCTCCTGCCTCGGCCTCCCAGAGTGCTAGAATTACAGGCGTGAGCCACCGTGCCCGGCCCCCAAAGTTACTATCTTAGATGAATTCTGAAACTGCCCCATCCTAATTCTCAATGCATGAGAGGGATACCATCACTACCATTTTAACAAAAGGTTAATACAACCCACACTTCTGCTGATACTCAGAGAATAAGATAGATGACCTCTGTGCAAGCTGGAAGTGTCCTTGTTTTACTAGATGCAGCTTGAAGAAGAGACACTTGCTTTTTATATAACATACTAGAACTCACACATCCAAACAAAAGCTATACTTACAAGCGATGACAGCATACTCCAAAAATATAGCTATTGCTCAAAACATTTGTGCAACAGCCTTCAGTCTGCATTAAAAAGCCTCATTGTTTTATTTGTTGCTCATTTTTTTTAACCAAAAAAGATATATCCCCAGCTTTTTTACCCTCTTTATTTGTCACACTTGACACCTAAAGGCTTCTGACCACCCTGAAAAAGCAAACCCACCCACACATGGTGCCAGGCTGGCAGGTATAGAGGCAGAATTTGATACTTGCCTTCAAGGTGAGGAAAGTGCATGTGGAGAGGGAGGGAAAGGGATGAGAACGCAGGTCAGCAATGGTTGAACCAGAGTCACACTGCCCCCTCCCCACCATTTCATGCATGTGGAAAAGAGTCCAAGTCACAAAGCCAGTATACATGGGCCTATAAGGGAAATCAGAGCCAGCCAGGGGAGGGCAGCCAGAGCTGGGAAGGGTAGGGGTGGTGGCACCAGGCACCAGGAAGGGTGGCTCAAAGCACCAGTCAGTTTAGCCTAGAGAGGAAAAGACTGAGGGCAGAGGCTCCAGGAAGGTTGGGGTGGGGGACAGTGTACCTCCTTGCCTGAGGGCTTTGCCCAGAGACAGGATAGGCCCTGTGTGGGGGGCCACAGCAATGAAATGATCTGCCTCCAGCCCCTGCTTTTCCTGCGGCTGTCTCTGAACACCCCTCCCCTTTAAGGTGTCTACTCCCAGAACAGTGACTCACTACCTGGGTCATACACAGTAGGGACATGTCTGTGGCCGTAAATCCAGGAGACTCATCCTGAAGGAAGAGCTCTGCTTGCGGGCCTGGGCTTGCTACCCTTCCGAGCCAGCAAGCGGAGAGGCCAGCTAATCATCTGTCCCCTTCACAGAGCTTGAGCTGTGCACAGGCTCTCATGGGGAAGAAAGTACTGAGATCGAACTTTGGTAGGGCCACAAAGGGACACAGTCTTGGGAGGCTTAATAGAGGAAATATTAAATCAATGAAACCTCATTTCCAAGTTCGGTTTAGCAGCAGAATCCATTAACCTTATATTCACCCTCTCCCTTCCTCTCATACTGGGAAGGGGTTCAAAGGCATGATAACTTATCCCCAGGGTCAGTGCGTTCTATTCAATTACTGGGATTCTGAGTTTTCAAGTTGAAAGATATATACTCATTTTGATTATAAAGAACCAACTCAAAAAGAGCACTTCTTTCTTTTCATTTTGCTGGAAATGCCACACAGACACAACCATGGGTATTTGGCTCTGCTGAAACAGAAGAGGGAAGTAAGGCTGACAAAGGAGCTCAAATCAGTTCTTATTTTTCTCTTCATAAAAGAATTCCCAGCAAATCAAGAACAAGGTTGGATCTGATTGCCCCTGGAACTGAGGCCACTCAATGTGAGTTCCCTCACTCAGTCCTGTCCCCAGGCCAGACGACAGCAAAGTTCAATCTCATTGCTTTTGTCACACAAATTGTCAAAACCTAAAATAAAAACTGGTGCAACAGCAGAAACACAATGCTCCAGGGAGTAATGGGACAAGTCATTCCCACAAGCCAGCCCTGGGGATGGATAAAGATCAAAATACTGGTGACCCTTTGCAAAGTGCTGACCTCTCTGGTGATAACGGCCAGGGGCTAGCCTGGGCGAGGGGCTGGGGTGGACAGGACAGGGCAGGGCAGGTTTGAGCTGGGCAGTCAGATACAGCCCCCATTAAACCTTCCGTGCAAGAGCAGCAGCATCCTGATGCTGTTGCCATGGCATTTCATCCATTCAGAAAAGGCTGTCTCTCGCCTGGTATAGGACCCAGGCCAGAAGGCCCTGAAGCCTTGCCCCTGACAGCAAGGATAGCACTCTCTGAGCGTGGTTTTTCTGTCCACTCGCCCTCCCATTTGGTCTGAAAACTAAGGCAGTCCTGTTTGGAGGAGCCTCACAATCCAGTGGCTTGGCTCTTTGGCTGCTGCTTGCTACACTTTGAAGTTAAATATAGTGACTTCAGAGGCAGAGAATACCAGAAGGCAAAAGAGGGCTTGTTTTAGCATTTTGCATTCAGCAACATCCTCTTGGTGAGAATGGAGAAGAAAACAGCCAACTTATCTACCTCCCCAACAATCAAGAGTGTGGGCAGGAGCCCAAAGGGGCCAGCCCAAATGAACAGCATTCAGGGGTATTCCATGCCAGCTGTGGAGGGAGAAGGAGAATGGCTTTGCATAGGTAGGAAGCTCATCGAATATGTGCCCCAGTAATATGAAATGAACCTTCTGGATTTCTATATGCTGTGAGGCAGACTGGCATCTACAAACCAGGCGGGAAGAAAAATCAATCCCCAAATTCTACACAGAACCATTATTCCCTGTTGCTTCAGAAGCCTAACGTGCTTTGTGAATATTAATTGCAGATGCTCCCTCTTCCACTGGAGGGACAAGAGAGTAGATTCTAAGTCCTCATCCCTACTTCAGATGTCCTATGACAGCTGCCCCCACTGCTTCCTCACCCCTCTTAAAAGGAAGATAACAGGGCCAGAAGGAGGTACAGAAAGTACCATCTGACCAGACTACTCTGAGAAAACTCTGTGTGTAACTTTAAGGCAAAGTATATCTACAAGATCCCAATGCCATTTACTTGTTATTGACAAAGGCCTGAGATGTGCCATATACCATCCTTGGAGCTGAGGAAAGGGAGATAGTTAAGATCCTGTCATTAACAATGTGGCCATTACAATGGGAGAAGCAGATTGTTCAGCCTAAACTGTGACAGAGGACAACCACAGCACTCTGGGTAATTTGATGCTTATACCCTGTTGCCAGAGAGGCAACAGGAGGAACTTTGCTGTGGAGGAACTTAATGGCACCCCACTGCAGTGTGACAGACATCATATCTCTTTAGGCAAAGCATGCAGGACAATGGGACAAGCCAGGGAGGACCAGCCAGAGACTGTGTGAACTCCCAGAGGAAACTACTTGTCTCCGACTCTCACTCGCCAGCTAGAAGAAAGCACCAGGGGAGGGTGTGAACTGGAGAAAAGCAATTCCCAGCCTTGGGTTCACACTAGAATCACCCAGGTAGCTTTTTAAGAATATTAGTACTTGAGTCCTACCCTGTACCATTCAAATCAGAACCTCTGGGCCATGAGACTAAGGTGTTGATATGTTCTGGAAGCTCCCAGGTGGTTCTCATGTGCTGGGTGGGCTGAGAACCCCTAACATAGAAGAAGGAATGTTAACACAGTCATTCATCTGACATAAATGTATTGCACCTACCAAGTGCTGGACACTGGGGACACAGTGGAAGGCAAGATGGGCCTAATCCCTGTCCTCGAGCTCACAGTCCAGAAGGGCAGGGAGCCGAGTGATTCTGCTTCTTGTCCTGGCTCTGCCGCTGACAATCCTGAGCTCTCGGACCTTTCCCTTTTCTTCTCCAGGCCCCAGGTTTGCTGTCCAGTGAGGCTATAGGCCCCATCTGCGATCCCCATCCCACTACAAAATAAAAAAAACCAACGTTTTATGTATATTAACCCATTTAATTTTCCTAACAACTCTATAGGCAGGTACTGTTGTTTTCACTAGCTTTGCCCGTAGAGGCTAAGTGATTTGCCCAAGGTCATACAACTGGTAAGAGGTGTAGCCCGAACTTGAACTTGGGTAGTTTGTCTCCAGAATCTATGGACTCATAAACTGAACTTCCTTGTGATTTGGGTGATTTTTCATCCTTTTTTTTTTTTTTTTTGAAACAGAGTCTCACTCTGTTGCCTGGGCTAGAGTGCTGTGGCATCAGGCTAGCTCACGGCAACCTCAAACTCCTGGGCTCAAGCGATTCTCCTGCCTCAGCCTCCCAAGTAGCTGGAACATACAGCATCGCACCACCATCAGCTTATTTTTTTCATATTTTACTCCGTCCAGATAATTTTTTCTATTTTTAGTACAGATGGGGTCTCACTGTTGCTCAGGCTGGTCTTGAACAACGATCAGCCTGCCTTGTCAGAAGTGTAGGATTACAGGCAATGAGCCCACCCTGCCAGCCTGATTTGGGTGATGATGGGAGATGATACATAAGCTTTTCAGTCTGGAGTTTGGTGAAGGGAGGACATGAACCAGTCACGCCTCTTCCATTCTTTTGAAGACAAAAAATGACTCTGTTGGCTCAGCATTGTGGAGAGAATTGAATGGTTCCAGTTCTTCCCATGTTGCAGCTGGTTTAGGAGAAAATTAAAAGTTTTCTCTCTGATTCCACAGAAAAAGCAACAGACGGCTCCCTGCAAAGTGAGGACTGGACATTGAACATGGAGATCTGTGACATCATCAATGAAACAGAGGAAGGGTATGTGTGTCTCTCCTTGGAAGCCTCTCTCAGCTTTTGGGGGTCATTCAAAGCCTGCCAGGGCCTATAGGTGGTAGGTTTTATGATTTATTCTGTTTTGTTTTATTTTTTGAGACAGAGTCTCACTCTGTTGCCCAGGCTAGAGTGCCATGGTGTCAGCCTAGCTCACAGCAACCTCAAACTCCTGGGCTCAAGCAATCCTTCTGCCTCAGCCTCCCGAGTAGCTGAGACTACAGGCATATGCCACTATGCCCAGCTAATTTTTTCTATATATTAATTTCTTTCTATTTTTAATAGAGATAGGGTCTTGATCTTGCTCAGGCTGGTTTCAAACTCCTGACCTTGAGCAATCCTCCTGCCTCGGCCTCCCAGAGTGCTAGGGTTACAGGCATGAGCCACTGTGCCCAGCCGATTTATTCTGTTTTTAGTCTGTTTGCTTTGGCATTTAATAAGCTGACACTCTTAATTATCTGTCCCCTCCTGTCCATTCCTCCCGATACTTCCCCTGTGGCAGTGCTCAGGGTAGAGCAGTGACACCTCCTTTAATCACCTGCTTTTAATCACAAGTGGAAATGAAGCTACTTGCTTACTTGGTTCCCATTGGCCATCAGTCTCTGCAGCCAAACTATCACCTCTTCCTGTCCCTCCTCCTGGCCCTTTTCTCTCCTTCACACATGTGTGGCTGTGTCTGCCCTGGTTTCTGAAGGAGAGCCCCTGGAGTCAGAGTGCCACAGTGTCCATGGAGGGAGGCCCTGGGCATGGGTCAGGTGAGGCAGGGAGTGAGAAAGTGGCCTGTGTGGCAGAGAGCAGTTCCTGGCATGAGTGGACTTAACCCACAAGTTGTCCTTCTTGCATTCCTGCACTGCTGGATCTATTGTTGTTGTGTCCTATCTCCTCTCCTCCCACTTTCTACACTCTAATTGCGCTTCTTCCTAATTGGTCTATATTTAGCCCTCAATCCACACCATAAACATTTACTTTACCGTAGCCATGCCCTCTTAAACCATTTCCAGAGTGGCAGTGAGAACAGCTGGGACTCAGGCAGCCCTGGGCTGGCATCTCAGCAGTGTCACTCTCTAGACTTGCCATGTGTGAACTGGAGACCAGCCTCTTAAATTTGGTCCTCCTGCTTTCATTGAGCAAATATTTCATGAGTGACTACCTTGTACTGGGCAATGCTATAAGTACTGAGTACACAGCACTGGGTGAGATAGACTCCCCCCCTGGGGTGCAAGGCAGGCCATAAACAGGACAGTAAACAGGAGGCCTGGTCAGATGGGAACAAGACTGTGGGAGGGAGATGGGGGAGAGAAGACTGAGAATTAGCTATTTTAATTAGAATGATCATGGAAAGTCTCACTGAGAAGGTGACATTGAACATAGACTTGAAGGAGATGAGGAAGTGAAGGGTGAGGATCATACAGGGAAGAATTGTCCAGGCTCAGGGAGCCGCAAGCACAGAAGTCCTGGGACGAGGGTGTCTGGTGTGTCTGAGGAATAGCAAAGTATCTGATGGGCCCAGAATGGAGGGATGGAGGAAGAAGGGGCCCAGAAATGAGGTTGATGACATGTTGAGAATCTGTGTGGGCTCCAGAGGGCCTCTGGCTTTGACTTGAGGTGAGAGGGGAATACATCGGAGGATTGGAACAAGAATGGCTTGGTCTCTGTTGTAAAGGGATCACTGTGTCTACTGTGTTTGGAATGGCCTGGCTGGATCAGGCGGAGGGTAGAAGCAGAAAACTCAGGGAGGAGGTTTTCACTGTGATCCTGGTGTGAGATAATGGCCGGCTTGCCTGGGGCGATGGGCGAGGAGGGCGTGAGAGTTGATGAGCTTCTGAATGTGTTTGGAGGGTAGAGCTGTTGGCCGATGTGGGACAGGAGCAGAGTCAAGGATAACTGCAAGGTTTGGGTGAACAGCTATGGGCGGAGCCTCTGTTTCCTGAGATGGAGCAGGCTTGGGAGTAGAGATTAGGAGTAGATCCAAGCTGCCAGCTGAGCTCCCAGGGGACATACTGATGGGGGATGCACAGGTGACTCTGGAGTTGGGCAGTGGCCTGTGTTGGGTGGAAGCGTGGGAGTCTTCGGTGAAAGGTGGTATTAAATATATATATATATATATTGTTTGTTTGTTTGTTTGTTTGTTTTTTGAGACAGAGTCTCATTCTGTTGCCTGGGCTAGAGTGCCATGGCATCAGCCTAGCTCACAGCAACCTCAAACTCCTGGCTCAAGCGATCCTCCTGCCTTAGCCTCCCAAGGAGCTGGGACTACAGGCCAGCGCCACCATGCCTGGCGAATTTTTTCTATATATTTTTAGTTGTCCAGCTAATTTCTTTCTATTTATAGTAGAGACGGGGTTTGGCTCTTGCTCAGGCTAGTTTCGAACTCCTGACCTTGAGCGATCCGCCCACCTCGGCCTCCCAGAGTGCTAAGATTACAGGCGTGAGCCACCGCGCCTGTCCGGTATTAAATATATTTTTGCCAGCCAAATGTAGGTGACTGTATGCCAGTGCCTGGCATACACATATGACTCACAGATAATTGTTGGAGACTACACATCTCCGATACCATCGTCACCAGGCTCAGAATGGCCACCCTCCTTCAGATCCACGTAGCTCCTCTCTTCCTCACATCCCCCTCAGACACCACTCATTCACTAGTTTATCCAGTTGTCCAGCCATTTACTGACCCGGCAGTGAAGGGGTAGTGGCTCCAGGAGGCCACAGAGGTTGTGCAGACTGCCCTAGAGGCCTCCCCTGGGGGGACTGGCCAGGGCTGTGGCTGAGGCCTGTGTCCGATGCCGCAGCCTCAAAGACAGGCACACGCACCTCCAGGAAGGACTGGCTTTGGGCTGTGGCTTCAAAGGTGACAGGAGGAGGAGAAGTGTGCCCTGTAGCTAGGGGTGGCATGAAAAGGACCAGCGTGTTGAGAAATATGAGTGGTCTGAGGTGGACAGTCTAGAATTAGGCTGAAAAGGTCAAGGTCAGGTGCTTCATTCTCTGACATCTATGCTTTACCTTAGAGTTGGACATTTGCTTTGGCCCTTCCCTCAGTCCTTTCCTGCTGCATAACTCAGCAAGTTACCCCAGGACTTTCTAGACCCTTAGGGTAAGAACCCTTAGCCAGGCCCTGCTGAGAAACCCTGGCCCTGCAGCTCAACTTTGGGTGCTTTAGCACCCGATCTTTCAGCTCCTTGAACTTTTCCACAGTCCTCTACCCAGTTTGAAATTCTCCACAAATTTGAGCAATATACAAATATGTTGGGAACTCTTATTTTCCAGTGAATTGTTCAAGTGCTTCTGTGGCTCGAGGTCAGGAAGCCCAGGAACCCCAGGAGCTTCCTCATTCCAGAGGGGCTGAAGCCTTCTTTTTCAAATCCTTACTTCTCAGAAGGCCTGGTCACACATACCTTCTTCCTCAAGCGGCCCGAGCTCCCGTTCTTGTGTTTTTGAGTGAGAGCATCTCAGTGGTTCCTGAGGACTTTCTGTCCTTGCCTCTGCTGTGAGATGTCTGTCAAAATCTCTTCCTAGCTAGGTGTGGTGGCACATCCCAATGGTCCCAGCTACTCGGGAAGCTGAGGCAGGAGGATTGCTTGAACCCAGGGGTTAGAGGCCGCAGTGTGCTATGATCATGCCACTGCCACCGTACTGCAGCCTGGGCAACAGAATGAGACCCTGTCTCTAAAAAATAAAAAATCTCTTCCTTAGTGGGAGAAACCCCCATAAGTCGGGCTGATGTTAGGGCACCCCACTCATTCCTTTGTGCCCTTGCCTGAAGGTCCTCTGCCCTGCTGTTCTGTTTGTTCCCCTCACCTCACCTCCCTTACTAAGTACTTCCCATCATTCATGGATCTCAGTTTGAATCGCATTTCTCTGACACCCTTCCCTCCAGTTTGGACAAGTCCTCCATTATATGATTTTGTGATACCCTGAATTATACTGACACTCATCACAGTTTAAACTTAGGGGTCTGTGTGGTGTTTATTAGTGTCTGTCCTGCCCTGTAACCCCTATGAGACTGTGAGCTCCATGAGGACAGGAGTTCCATCTGTTTTCCTCACCATTTTGTCCCTAGCATCTAGCACAGCGCACACATGATTGGCCCTTGATAAATATTTGCTAAATAAGTGAATAAATGAATGAGGTCCCTAAGGCACTCACAGTGTGATGAGGGACGCAGCCATGTAAACATAATCAGAACACAGCGGGACAAGTTCTCAGAGAGAGAGAGAGAGAAGCTGTATATAGCTAGAGAGAGACAAGCACAACACAGCAGCCAGCCTTGGGGCTGTTGGCAACCAAGGCTTCTTGGAGGAGGTGACACCAGACTGGAGTCTTACAGGATGCCAGGGCATCAGCCAGGTGAGGTAGAGCCCCCAGGCTGAGGGCGGGTGAGCAGCAGATGTGCAGGAAGCATAGTAAAGTGGGATTGGCAGGATTAGGGGGCAGAGCCTGGAGCTGTTGCCTGGTCTGGAATCAGGTACCACTCACTTGTGCAACACTGAGTGGGTTACTTCATCTCCCTGTGTCTCAGTTTCCTCTTTTATAAAATGGAGTTACCAATAGTGCCTATTTCATAGGGCTGTTATCAGGATTAAAAGAGTAAATACATATAAAGTATCTGGCTGTATAAATATATCTCCATATTCGTGCTATGTATATGTTGACTTGCTATTTCTCCTTTCAAGATTTCCATTGCCCGTGGCTTTTGTCATCATATTTATTTGGGGTGTCAGTTGTCTGTCTGGTCCTTGGTGGTGATCTCTGAGGGTTCACCGCCCTTACTCAGCCTGCCATCTCTGAGCACTTGCCATGTGCCGGGACCTGGACCCAGCCCTGGATTGCATCATCTTGTGCAGCCCGTCAACAGCTCTATAAGGTGGAGACAGCCTGTTTTACTGTTGAGGAAACTAAGGCCCAGAGTGGTTTGGTCACTTGCCACAGGCCTTGCAGCCCAACCTGGAAGGGCACATGTGGGATGCAAGCCCAAGCTCGTCTGCCTCCGGCCACTGAAGCTCTGCCTGTGTGTCTTGTATCGCTGCTTTACCAACAGGAGGCTGTGGTCCTGGTGGGGCAGATTGGTAAGCTGCCCCATAGGCCTCTCCCTGGGCTTTCCCTAATGTCCAGGGCTGAGGTTACTGCCAGCCCAAGGGGTGCTGGCATATGCGGCCTTCTGTGGCAGTCCCTTGGTCATTAACCCAGAGTGGCTGGCTGAATAACCCACCTTGGAGTGTTTTAGACCCCGTTTGCTAGGCCTCACCCCAGACCTACCTAATTAGGCACAAGCATGTGGGTTTGAGAATTGTTTCTTAGGTGATTCTGATGCATGGCTCTGACAAGGATCCATTGACCTGGGTCATGTTCTCGACTGTCTCTGGACCTTCCCTGGTTCACAGAATCTTTGCCTGTGCTCCAGCCTCTAAGCTGGAGGGGCACAGGGAAGGACTTGGATGAATACAGTGCAGCAAGATAATGGAGGAGGGTATGTAGGCCGATTGAAGAGGAGCAGCCGTGTCCTCCTGGGGGTGACGAAGAGAAAGCTTCTTCTCACAAGAGAAGGACAAAGAGGTGTAAAGGTTGTGGCCAGAGGCATGACAAGCAGCTTATCTGCGGTCCAGTGAAGCATTCTTATAAGTATGGAGTCTAAGGAGACTTTGAGGAGCTTGAAGATGGCCCAGAGGCCCGGTCATAAGGGCCTGGGACTGCCCTAGGGGGCCTGACCTTTCCCCTGAGAGCCCCCAGGTTTGGCACCATGTCACACAGGCCCTCTTTTCTTCCTGCTCCGCCGTGGCTCTTGATGCCTGTGTGCATCTCTCTCTTTTCCCAGTTTCCAGCTCCACACTGTCTAATCTGCTGCAGCTCCTTGAAACTTTGTGATTCCTCTGACATGACTTTGATCCTCCTCTCTGAAGCTTCTCCCCCAAGGAGAGAGATAAATATTGCTTTGTGCTCACCCATCACTCTCTGGTAGTACTTCTCTCCCAGAGCCTGTGGATGAATTTTCATTTTAAACCTCACCCAGAGGCCTGCTGTCTGATTTCCCACTCAGTGGCCCCTGCACGGGGAGAGGGTGCAGGTGCCCTGCCAGCCAGAGGGACTGCGGCCCTCAGGGGATGTTCCCATTTTCCTGCTCCGTGAAGCTCCGGAGGACAGGAAAGAGACTGGATTGAGAGGGATGGCAGTGATGGGTCAGGAGCAACTGAGGTTTGAAAAGCCTTGGAGAGAAGAAATCAGTCTGTGCTCCTGGCCAGTAGCCACTGACTTTCACTAGCCCTCAGGCCACAAACAGCCCTCAAAGCAGAGAGCTGGTTACGTCTAATATTTGCAGAAATCAGAATCCCTGTTTGGAAATGGCAGCCATACTGCTAACACAGTTGGCCGGGGCCTTTTCCCTGGAGAGCCTTGTCCCATCAGCCCTTTGACTCAGGAGCTGAGAGATCCTGCAGGGTAGCCATGTTTCAAGCTGGGAATGGAAAATAAGTGATTCAGGATGTTTTTAAAATTTCTTTTAAAAGTCTTGCTTGCCTTGCTCCTGTGACTTTCTCTGTGAATAAACACTGATTAGCATAGCTTCCACTCTCCCCTCCCCTGACTTCAAATGTGTGTGACCTTCACACACATTAGGAAAGGCTTTTCCATTTGATAAATAGAGTCATAATATTTTAGAACTATAGCAATAGAAGGTCCCTGACTTATAAACATTCAACCTGGGAAAGACTAAGCTATATTGATGTGTAGATTAATGGAAGGCTAGAGCCCACTCGTGATAAGAGGGTTGGCCTACAGCCAGACTGGGGGCTCCCCAGAGCACAGGGTGGTGTGGCATCATAGGGCAGAGACTTCATGCCAGGGGCTGCCAGGGGTAGCTCTCAGTCCCATAACTTTGTTGAGTCTTAACTTAGAATAAATTAAATAACATGTTAGATACAAGACCTATAAATAATAGGTGTGCTTAGATGGCTAGCTGGGGATCCTAACTCTCAAGTATAACAGTGATTGAATTAAGAACTCGTTCTAAGTTTCAAATAATCAGTTTATGAGCAAGCTTTGAACAGGGCCCATTTGTAACTAGGGACTGCGTATAATTCTGCAAGGTGCCCTCTGGGAATCTACATCAGATCTGTTACCTAAAAACATATGATTCATTGGGTTTTGAGGAGATTCACTTAAGCTTTCTCTGGGCAAAGGAGTCCCATGGAATTCAGGAATAGCTGAACAGCCAGGCCTAAGCAAGGACCTAGCCACTCTCTTCTGTGCTCTCTTGTGGTTTCTCTGGAAAAACTCTCTTCAGTTTACCCACACGCCAATGGGTTAGTTACTTTTTTTTTTTTTTTTTTTTGAGACAGAGTCTCGCTTTGTTGCCCAGGCTAGAGTGAGTGCCATGGCGTCAGCCTAGCTCACAGCAACCTCAAACTCCTGGGCTCAAGCATCCTCTGCCTCAGCCTCCCGAGTAGCTGGGACTACAGGCATGAGCCACCATGCCCGGCTAATTTTTTCTATATATATTAGTTGGCCAATTAGTTTCTTTCTATTTATAGTAGAGACGGGGTCGCTCTTGCTCAGGCTGGTTTCGAACTCCTGACCTCGAGCAATCCGCCCGCCTCGGCCTCCCAGAGAGCTAGGATTACAGTAGTTACTGTTTTTAATAAATAATACTTACATGTGATACAGAATTCAAAAGGCCTACAAAAAGGCAATCCAGTGAACCGCCTCCCGCCACCCCTGCCACCTGGTTCCTTCCTCGGGCAGCCACTGTTACCAGGCTCCTTCCAAGATTTTGTTCCCTGCACTGGGACGTGTGCTGTGTATGTGTTTTTCGTCCTTTTAGAACTCAATAGCATGCTATAGTATGCACTGTTCTGCAATGGACTTTATGTACATGTCTTTGAGTTTTGCCTGTCTTGGTGCTTAAGGAGTTTCTTTATTCATTTTTGCAGCTGCATAGTATTCTCTTGTGTGGATGAGCCATGATTTGATTTAATGTGTTTTGGATCGATGGACTTTTAGTTTGTTTCCAATCTTTTATGTTTACAAACATGCTGCAGCAGATAACATTGTGTATATGCTAGCTCATACAAGTGGGAGTGACTCTGTAGGACAGTGCCCCAGAGTGGGATTTGCAAGGACCTTAACATATCTGACCTTTTCTCCAGGCCAAAGGATGCCATCCGAGCCCTGAAGAAGCGGCTAAATGGGAACCGGAACTACAGAGAAGTTATGCTGGCGTTAACAGTGAGTATTGCTCCCTGGGCGAGGGAAAGCATCTAGGGAGCTCCCTGCTCCCCACCTTGCCCCTAACAGGGCCTTCCCTCTTCCCACTTGGCACAGCCTCCAAATGGCTTGCTGCCTGGGCAGATGAAGTCCAGCAGAGCCTTCTGGAGTTTCCTTTGGTGTCCTGCCCTCCTCTGAAACAGGGTGAGCTTCAGTTTGGCAAATACATGCCAGCAGAAGATAAGGCATGGACAGCCCTGTCAGGTACAGAAACCCACGGCAAAGGAGCCAGAGGCCTGGGATGGGTCCCCATTCTGCCACCAGCCTGATCTGAGACTGGGGACCAACTGCTTCTCTGTGTATCCGTTTCCTCTTTATAAGTGTTACCTTTCACCTATTGAGTGCCTGCCTGGGACTGTGCTACGCTTCTCAGATGTTAATGCAGACGTTTAAAATCACCTTCCACCAAAATAGGTTTTGTTATCCCCCTCATACAAATGAGGAAACTGAGGCTCAGAGGCCTAGAGGTTTGCCCAGCCTTCACAGCCAGTAAGCTGCCGAGCTGTGGATTACCATCATAAGATGGTCCTTTGTATGGGGTACGAACTGCAAGCAGCTGCAAAGCCTCTTGAAAAAATTAGCCAAGTGACTCCTTTCAGTGAGGAACAGACCAGAGTTTTGCCCGTCCTTAAGATGTCAGAGAATTAAAAGGGACAACTTCAGGTGTTATTTCTGTCTTGAAAGCTAACAGTTTTTCAGATGCGGCAAAATCTGGGCCACAGTGAGTTCTTAAAATAGAAACTGTAACAGGTCAGCAGGTCGAGTTCTCTGTAGGTTTGAAATAGTGGACTATTTATCCAAAACAGCCATAACATGTTTCCTTTTAAAGCAGAGAAACTGTTTGGATTTTTTGCCCAAGTAAAAACTAAAAACTTATTAAGAGAGTTCTTTCTGCCAGGGAATTGGGATTTGAATAATAAAGGAGAAAAGACCAATTGAGAAATAGGGAATTGAAAGCTTTTTGTTATTTTTTTTCTCAGAATTTGAACCACAGCATTTACTAAACCCAGAGTGATGCCCAATATGAATTGTTTTCAATAACTCAGCTCTCCAGGGAATGAGCTCTGACACATCAGGGCATTTTCGTGGTGTTTATAGCTTCTCCCTTTAAATACGTGGTATTAAAGGCTACTTTAAAGATATTAAAGGCTACTTCACGGTACCCATAGTGGATGGAAATCTGCCTAAAGTGGACTCTGTGTTTACTTGCTTTCCTACAGCAGGGCATGATGGACATTACTTGACCTTTCCTGATGGTCAGGTCTTTTGCTACAAATCCAGTCATGCCTTTGGGAGGCTCAGTTAAATGGGCAGAGCCATCACCCCTACACCAAAGGCCCAGCCTGGCACTCTTTGCTGGTCTTGTGCAAAAAGCTTGTGAAGCTTTTATGGCTTCACTTACCCTGTTAGCTGCTCTCAGCCTACCTGTTTCTTGTGGCCCTTTCCTAACTTCCTATCTGTACCCACCAAGATTGTTAATATTTATCCAAAATGGAAGTTAGTAGGAGGTCCTGAGGGGTTCTTTGCTTGTATCTTTTTGTCTGGACTTGAAATGTCCATTTCTGATTGGTTAGAGGCCCCTTTTGCTTATTCTGTGGGTTTTGGCTGTGTTCCAGAAAATTGCCACTGTGTGTTTCATGCTCTATAGCCCATAAGGACAGCTCTTCCAGGGACCTGTTTGGCAAGGTGGCCTGAAGTGGCCCTTGCCAGCCCAGGGAGGACATCCTACTCTTCCTGCTCAGAGAGGCTTTGGGGCCGCTCTGTAGCACATGCCTCTCTGTCCAGGGCATTTCCAAGGCCAGGCTGGAATACACTGGCCTTGGGGCTGCTGTCAGGAAAAGCTGAGGATATGCTCCCTAAGGCTGGGAAGGGGCCCTTCCCCGCCGCTGCCCTGGGAGTGGAGCAGAGCCCAGGCTGCTCTGCCCCTCAGCCCTGTGCCTCTTTTTCTAATTCTCTCTCCCACCCACTGGCGTCCGCCTGCCCTGCCTCTCCTAATGGAATAAAGCATACTTCCAGCCACCTACCTTGGCCCTCGTAGCTGAGTGCCTGAGTTGGGAGAAGGGTTTTAGGGAACCCTAGGGAAATGGGTGCCTGTAAGCCCCTCGAGAGCAGGAAGATCCCCCTCTGGTTCGTCTCTACAGGCCCCACAGGTCATTGAGAGAGAGAGTGCCAGTTATCTCATGGTCATCTAGAATCAGGCACAAGCAGAGGCTAAGAAATGGAAATGCCTCTTTCGCTGAATAAAACTTATTCAGCCTTATTCGCTTAAGGTTGTGAGAGCGCTAAGCTTCAGAGTTTTCCTTGGCGGGCCAAGCAGAACCCAGAGTCTGTCGTGGTGTAGGCAGCAGCGGGCAGGGCCGATTCTGGCTGGCCGGAGAGCCGCTGCAGGGGAGAGCCCCAGCTCTGGCCGCCTCGGTTACGCTGCACAACCTCTCCCAGCCTTGGCCTCCTCACCTCTAACGTGGGACAATACCCAACTTACAGGGTTATTTCAAGGGCCAAATGAGGGAACAAGAAATCTAGCACGTTACCTGTAGCCTGAGGAACTCTCAGTTGCTGTGACTTGGAGGAGAGCTGTGAGGGCAGGATGGCTATGTGGCCCCACGGTGGCCGAGGAGACCAGGGCTCCAGAGGAGGCTGAGCGAGCTCCCATCTGCTCTGGTACTGGCTGATGGTATGTACCTAGACCAGTGTCTTTATCTTTTAACTCTAAAAAATGGGATAATAAAGTCTACTTACGGAGAAGCAATTATCACTAGTTGTGAGAATCCAGTGAAATTACATATCACTCAGGAGGATCTGTCATAGCACCTGGCGTGTAGCTGGCATTCAGTCAATGGCACGGTTATGGATCTTTCCTTACAGCTGTGCTTTGTCAAGGCAGAGCCCAACTGTATGAACCAGACCTGGGGCGTGGCCACGTGAGTTACCAGTGATCAGATTAGCTTGGGTGAATGAGAATAACAGAGGCAGTAAGAAATGTTCCTTGTTGCTGGTGACATCCTTTGGAGGAGGTGTTCCCCAGCTAGTAGATGTGGCCCCGGGGGGCAGAGGGGTGTCGTCGGAAGGGCCAGGTAATGCTATGGGTTGGTTTACAGAGAGCTGGGACGGTCAGGGAGCCGTGTTTGAGGCAGGAGAAGCCCTGCTAGTTGGTACCTCTGAATTCCAAGGGGCCTCCCCTGTGGGAGCAGCAGCAGCTGTCCCTTGACTCATGCGTAGCGGCCATCTGACTAGTGATCATGGAATCTTAGCCATCATTTATTGGTTTCCTACCCTATGCAGGTACTTTAAACATTTTCTCTCAAATCTTCCCAACAATCTTGCAAGGGAGGTCTCATTGTCCCCACTTTACAGATGAGGCTCAGAGAAACTGTCCTGGGCCATTCAGGGAAAAAGTGGCGGAGATGAGATGCAAGCTGAGATGCAAGCCTATCTGGCCAGAACCCATGCACTGAGCTTTTCTGAGCAGCTGAGGCCTGTGTAACTTGTTTTCCTGGACAAAGGAGGAGCAGGCAGGGTCTGAATCAAACATGGACCTTAAAGCCACATGGTAACTGAGGCCCACAGGCCATTCATCCGGAGTGGAAAATCCCTTGTCATTGCCAATTGTAGGTGCAGAAGCAGGGTTGTGTGTGGGGTATATGTGTATGTTTGCTTCCTCACATACAAGGGCCAGTAACTCACTAGGCAATTCAAGCTGTCACAGCAGCCTCCTCTTGTGACAGAGCCTGTGTCCCATTGGCTAATGCCTTATACCCAGAGGCCCGAAGAGAGGAGTTAAAATGCTAATTTTCAGGGACCGCTCAGTCATTTTGATCCCATTAAAATACTAGCATCCTTCTCATGCAAAACTGGTGCCTCAATTACCAACTAATTGCCTGATTATTGTGCAGGGACAAGAGACTTCAGTCAGCAAGGGGCTGCTGTCATCCCCAGAGGAATGCCTGAATTAGAGTATGGGAATGCATGTGCCATCTAGGTTTGGCTCTGGAGGAGACATGTCAGAAAGCTGATCTAGAAGCAAGACAGAGGGGTGGTGGAAACTCAGCTGCCCTCCTCATTCCCCTGTGTCTCCTCCAGCTCCCAAGGGGTTGACTTCTTGCCTTCCCTCCCATCAGGTGCTGGAGACATGTGTGAAGAACTGTGGCCACCGCTTCCACGTCCTTGTGGCCAACCGAGATTTCATCGACAGTGTTCTGGTCAAAATCATCTCTCCCAAGAACAACCCTCCCACCATTGTACAGGACAAAGTGCTTGCTCTGATCCAGGTAGGTCAGCTTCCCTTGCCCAATTTGTTGGAACAGAGTAAGATGAAGTCTGTTATTGATGAGTCTTTGTGCTCTGCCACCATTTGGAGGAAAAAAATGGAGGCTTCTATGTTAAAATATTTGGGGCAAAATACTTACACTTATTTTTTTAAATACTCATCCTGCTGGAATAGAACCCTAATTGGTGGTTCTCCAGTCAATTGACATAGCCTCCATGAAGCTTTCTGGGTACCTGGCCATCTCCTGCCCATGTCCAACCTCAAGAGTAGGGGAATTAAACTCCACCTCTTAAAGAGAGGAAGGTCAAAGAATTTGTGAACATGTTGTAAAAACCATCACATGGAGAAAGGGTATAAGGAGGAATGTCTAGGGCTGGGGGTGGAAGGAACACACAGGATATAGGGCTAGAAGGATGGTCAGAGGCTTGTGGCCATACATGCTGGAATTTGCACTTGGTCCTAAAGGCAGTGGGAAGCCATTGAAGGATTCTGAGCTGGGGGATAAACAAACCTGGATTTTAGACAGAGCACCTGGTGACAAGGTGACAAGCACACAAATCAAGAAGCACATCCAACCTGGGTGATTAGTGCTGTGGCAGAGGCAAGACTGAGGCCTGCAGGAGCCAAGAGGAGAGACCAACCCAGGGAGTAGGCGTGGGCTCCAGCAAGGGCAAAGGGAGGCAGCCCAGCAGCGGCAGTGTGGTCAGGGTGGGCTTGGGACTCTCCAGGTGCTGCTGGGACATGAGGCCGGAGTGGAGCAAAATGCCTGAGCTAGAGTCTGTTGCCTCCGTCTGTTCTCTGTGCCTGAGTTTCCTCTGCCTGAAAAGTCCTTCTCTGGCTCTTGGAGCAGTGGCTCCTCTTCCTCATTCAGATGGCCTCCCTCTCGATTTACCACACACATCCTCTCACTCATAGTGCTCTCCTTTGTGGTCTTCAAGCTCTCGGCTTCGCTAACCTTTCTACCTCCCTCTTGGTTCCCTGAGAGTCCAGGGACATGGTTTTCCCAGGGTCTAAGGCAGTTGAATGTGTAGAGTGAGTTTATAGTAAGTACTTTTTAAAACTAATGTATGAATGTAGTTCACTATAGCTCTGAGGAAGGGGAGGAGTGTGGGTGACAGCAGATACCCTCTGTGCTCCCCAAGAGTTGTCCCTCTCCCCCTCCCCTAATCCTGCCCACCCAGCATCTTATGCTGTCTCTCTCTCTCTCTGTCTCTCAGTCTCTCTCACACACACACATACGTGAACACATATTCCCCCTCCTCCAACATTCTTTCCTCCTGGGTTATACTCCCTGCCTCAACCCCCCAGGAATTGATGTCAGGAAAAGAAATAGTGGCTTATTCTCACAAAAGAGGGGGTTACCGCAGCCTGAACCCCCTATGCAGAGATAGCTCTTGGCAGAGCCTATAGTGGCTGCAGACCTGGAAGGAGCACTTCCTGGGTGAGAATTTCTTAACCCTGAGGCCTGTCTGGGCCAGGTGGGGTGGTCACAAAGGTCATGATCTGCACTGCCCCTGCTGTGTGGAGACCTTGGCTGAGGGCAGACAGAGCCTCTGCAGTGGCTGTGGCCCACGTCTCTGCCTCAGAGGATGCCTATCCCCGCACACTTGACCCTGGCCTTGAAGCATTCTCACTGGGATCACCCCTTCCCCACATTCCAACTCCCTCCACCTTCTACCCAGTCCTACTTCTAACCTTGGGCAAGTTTGTTAACTTCTACCTCCTTATCTGTACAGTGGGGCCTGGGGTTTTTTACCTGCCTGCTCTCAGCCCTGAGCCCGTGAGATCAGCACACCCGGCACAGTGGCTGCACCATGTTCCGAGGCGTCCCCCTGCTGGCTGGCAGCTGCAGTGTGCACCAGCCCTGGGCGCCTGAGCAGAACGGGGGCTGGAGGTGGCTCTCGGGCTCCTGCCTGGCCTGACACACTGGATACAGTTCCCTGCTCCAGCTGTGGAACACAAGGGGCTTCAGGCAAGGATAGTGCTAGGTGGAGGTTGATAACCTACTGGGGAGAGCACTTCCTTTCCAGTCTGAAGTGTTCCTGAAGGGGTCTCACCTTTGGTCATGGCCACCCAACACAGAGAGCGGCAGGCAGCAGGCAGCTGTGGATGGGTTGGCTTCTGTGAGGGGTGGACCAAAAGAATAAACAGGACCAGGCGCGGTGGCTCACGCCTGTAATCGTAGCACTCTGGGAGGCCAAGGCAGGTGGATCACTCAAGGTCAGGAGTTTGAGACCAGCCTGAACAAGAGTGAGACCCCGTCTCTACTAAAAATAGAAAGAAATTAATTGGCCAACTAAAAACATATATAGAAAAAATTAGTCGGGTATGGTGGCGTGTGCCTGTAGTTCCAGCTACTTGAAAGGCTGAGGCAGAAGGATCGCTTGAGCCCAGGAGTTTGAGGTTGCTGTGAGCTAGGCTGACGCCACACTAGGCTGTTGCAAGTATTTTTATTCATTTTTATCAGGTGTTTATTAAGTTGAATATGTGCCATCTTTGTTGGTCAAAAATGGCCAAATATTAGTGATTTCCTGTGTTTTAGCCTAACACCTAGGAGCCAGGTTGCTGCGTCATGGGCAATGCCCACGCTCTGATTTGGTTCTCCAGTGGTCTCTCCCAGCAGCGTGCAGTTGTAGTTGCCTCACATCCTCACCAACATGCCCTATTTTCTGTCTTCTTCATTATAGCCCATCTGATGAGTATGGAATGGTATTACATTGGGTTAACCTTTCTTTTAACCCCTTTGAGAAAAAAAATCTTATTTGTATGTTGAATATACTTCCAAAAACTGTACAAGCTCCCTAGAGCAGGGGTCCTCAAACTTTTTAACGGGGGGCCAGTTTAGTGTCCTTCAGACCATTGGAGGGCCGTTGGAGAATGTGGCACACATTCCACACATGCGCACTGTGAGCCCGGGACGAGTCGGCTGCTAAGCAGGACGGGCAGTGGCAGCAAAAACACCCTGCGGGGTGGATAAATGTCCTCAGCGGGCCATAGTTTGAGAACCCCTGCCTACAGAGTCTGATAATTTCCTCTGGGAGAGAAAGTACTGCCCCCACCATGAAACAAGAATGGGGTGGTTGAGGAGTGACAGACCCCTCACCTTCTTGCCAGCCTGTGAATAGGTAGCAGGCTATCATATAAATACAGCTAGACTGAGCCGGGTGTGGTGGTTCTTACCTGTAATCCCAGCACTTGGGGAGGCTGAGGCAGGAGGATTGCTTGAAGCTAGGAGTTTGATACAAGCCTGGGCCACATAGTATGACCCCATCTCTATAACAAAATAAGAAAAAATTAGCCAGGCATGGTAGCCTGAGCCTGAAGTTCCAGTTAGTTGGGAGCGGCTGAGCCAGGAGGATCACTTGAGCCCAGGAGTTCAAAGCTACAGTGAGCTATGATCATGCCACTGCCTTCCAGCCTGGGCAACAGAGCAAGATTGTCTTAAATTAATGAATGAATAATTGCAAAAAATATGGCTAGACTAAAAAGAGGTTCAGCTAAATGGGTGGGTGCCAGAGCAGTAACAGAGTCTTCCTCACCTTCCTAGGTATCAGGATGCCAATGGTGCTCTTCCAAGCCCCGCTGCCTGGGAAGTGGGGCTGGGTCAGTCCCAGCCCTGCCTTCAGGGAGCTAGCAGTTAAACAGGAGAAACTAAGATTTGCAAGTGAGAGAGGGCCAGGGCCTAGCCAGGAAGGACTTGAACCAGCTTTTGATTGTTTGGGGGTGGGATGCAACCCTAAACTTTCCATTCCAGGAAAGTAGATTGACCATATTGGCACCTGAAAAGCTTACAAGGTGAAGGGGCTGCATAAGTGGGCCCCAACAGCCCCTCCTGCCCATGGAGCATGGTTGGGGCTCCTGGAAGAGGTGGAAGCCATGGCTACGATCACCCACCACTGGCCTGGGCCCACTGCCCCTTTGGCTGCCCTTGAGGATAGAAGCAGTAGATTGAGGGGCAGGAGGGAGGTTGGGCTCCAGACCACCTTTCCTAAAGCCTCCGTGTGCCTGTAGGGAGATGGATGGTAGAGCTGGTCCTGGCACGTCTGCCTGCCCCCAGCCCACCTCCCTGGGTCCCTTTCTTGAGTGCTGATCATAGGCATGGCTAGCTTAGGATTGGCCACTAAGGTGGCATTTCCAGTGGCACATGTTTGCCGTCTGCAGCCCCCTGGGCCAACGGTAAAGAGAACCCAGCTGATAGCCAGCCCTTCCTGCCCCCGCCACATTCCATCCCTCTCCACTTGGAGGCTTTCAGTGCCTTCTGGCTGCCCTTAGCCATCTATAGCTACCCCAGCTCCCTTCAAAATTCAATGCTTCAGGCTCATGTGCTCCAGAGGGCCCTGCCCATAAGAATGCACAAGGAAGACTGCCTCTGCTTTCCCTGACACCCAGCCCAGTGGGTGAACCATGCAGCAGCATGGTTCTGGGACTGTTTACCTAACTGAGGCCCCACAGGCATCTGCCCTCTGGAGGGAGCCGGTCTCCCTGGGAGGATGGGTGGGGGAAGAGCAGAGCAGCCTGGTTAGCAACTCGACAGCGCTTGCTCCCAGCCCCTGGGAGTCCAAAGACGCCACTTCTGGCAGCATCCAGCTTTCATCCTGTTTTCACCCAGTCCCTCAGCTGCTCTTTTGGCTTGCGTTCCTTTTTGTTTGCTCGTGTTAAGTCGTCGTATTGGTCGAGAAGATAAGAAGGATACTGCTGCTGTATGTCATCCCTCAGCTTTTCCCTTGAACTTGTTTTCAGGAGCAGAAACGGTGTCATCCTGGTAGAGTAACCTCAGAGTGGTCATGCCTTCCCTGCTCCCCTCCCCGTGCCCCAGCGATAGAGTCTAAAAACACTCTTTCCACTGAAGAAACTGAGCTGACGGGTGGGGATGGCAGTGGGGCAGGAGGGCTGGCAGGAGCTGCAGGTGTTGTGTTCTGTGAAGGTGGCAGAGACCTGGTGGCTGGGCTCTGGCCAGATTCTGTGTGGACAGAATCTGCAGGTCTGCAGGGACCCTGTCACTGGGAACAGGAAGTTGGGCCTGGAAATATAAGCAGAAAATGACGGAAGCCTTCTTTTACCCAAAGGCATAACAGAACTCAGAGTTTAAATCAGCAGTTGTTTATTGATCTGAAATTTGGTGATTCAAAACTTTGTCAAACTTTGAGGGATACAGAAATGAATAGGATATGCTTTATGTTTGTGTAAGGTTTCAGTCTGGAGTTTGATATATGATCCAAAGGAATACAGGAGATAAAAACGTTAATTAATCTTTTTTTCTCCTCATTATACCTTCCTCTGGGCCTTTCAACCCCCTAATCCTGTAGCCACAGGCAGGAAAAGAGGGAATTATATAAGGAGCATGGCTTCCAGGGAGGCGGCCACTTGGCCATTAACTGGTTAGGTCCTGTGACAGTCCTCAGAGGGTGCCCATGCTGCCACATCACTTTCCTTTCTGAGAAGATGGCTCTTGGGGTGGGCAGCCTGACCCACCCACCTGCTGCTCCTGGGCTTTGGGTTAGGGACCCTGAGGCTCACCTTCTCCCCTGGGAAATGTCCTCAGCTGGGTCAGCCTTCCAGGGGCCCTCCTTCATCACTGTCACTTCAGTCTATTGACAGCCTAAATGGCCATCTTTCCTCTGCTTTCTGAAGTAGGAAAATAGGATGCTTAGTAACCGTGACAACAGAATTCAGTTTAACCTGACAAATATTGATGGACTGCCTTCTCTGGGCAAAGGCAAGAGACTCGATGTGTGCCTTCAGTAGGTGTCTGACCTGTTGTGGGGGGAGACAGAAGCACCATTGTTTAGGCATGTACCAAGAAGATGCCAGGGACACATGGCATCTCTGGGTTTCTCTCATCTCTGCATTTTCACATATGACTGTTCCTTTAAAGCCCTGCCCCCACACCCCGTTTGTTCTTCTGTTGGCGTCAGAATCGTGTTCGCTGGAGATTGCTGTCATGAACATATGCTCTGTTAGCAGCCACCTCACCCAGACTGCACAGGGGTCCCAGACAGGGGTTGGAATCATGGCAGGTGGGAAGGGGGTGCATAGCCAAGACCGCTTGGTTGCAAGTAACAGATGCCAACTCCAGCTTGCATAGGCAAAGAGGAGAGTTTGTCATAGGCAGGGCCTCCCGGAAGCCCAGATCACCCAGACTAGGGGTGTGACTGGGCCTAGAAAGGGACAGAAGGGATCGAGAAGGCCCTCCAAATCCTCTTATGCATGTCTGCACCTCTGAACATACCAGCTGCTCCTTTTCCAGAACATAGGCTGCCTGTGCTCCCCATCCTGGGCTGGCACATGGCTGCCTCCCAGGGCCCACAGCTGTAGAGGATAGTTTGTCTACCCTCTCCCAGGACCAGGGTCCTGGGAGGAGGAGCATCCGATTGGCCCAACTTGGAATATGCATTCCCCATTCCCCCAGGGGCAGGCACAGCTGCTGGGGCTGCCTCTGTGAACATGGGGGCAGCAGAGGGCCTTAGAAGAACAGGCCCCAAGAAAGTATCCTCTTTCCACCACGGAAGAATCCACGGTTCTTTCATCGTCATTCCCATTATCTCAAATTTGAGTTGGGTACAGCAAGATGAATTGAAAGAGATTCCTGGAGCTGTTTGTAGTCCCATGTACAGAAGCATGAAGTGGCATCAGAAAAAAATTGCCATGCGTTCTTCCCCAGCCTCTTACGGTGGGCTGTGAGGCTGGTCTTTAGACTCTAAAGTCAGGACCCTAAACTAAAATGCTGGAGCCACAGCACTCACTGGATTTTGAAGCAGGCAGAGGCAGCTAGGGCACCTGGCAGGGGCAGGGCTGTGGGGGCACTCCCTGGGGAGGCTGCCAGCAGCTGGGCCTTCCAGACAGCCCTTGCTGCACCTTCTTTGCTCTCCTCAGGATCTAGAAGGAAGTGTTGGCTAAGATGGGCTGCACTGATCCAGGGGTGTTAAATCCCTGAGCATGCAAATTAACAAAATGCATCAAGGAGAAAGCCAGGCTGACAGCACTGTTTGTAGTAAGTGGATGCATCGGTTGTAATTAAGAAGGCTTTCTGGAAACTGACCTTTTAACTTCACGTGGGTCTGTTGGTTAGAGATAGAGTTTCTGTGGCTGCCTCAGGATTGGTTGGAACACATTGCTGGAGCCAGGGAGGCAGTTAAATGCTGTGACGACAGCAGACTTGGCAATGGAGCACCGGCACGAGAGGCTCTGCCACCTCCGCTGGGTATGTATGTATGTATGGTGACCGGAACAGCACAGGAAGGGCTGGGTCCCATTTCTGGGGAGACCTTTGGATATGCTTCTCTTTCTGATACATTCTGTAATTTCCAAAGAGCAGAAGATTTAAAAAAAAATTTTTTTTAAGAGTTTCACGAGTCAATGAAAATGATAATCAGTTTGAATTTTTGCCCTTTCTTATCTGTATTGTGTTTTTGTTTAAGAGAATCTAGTGGTCATGCTGTCCATTGGATTTTATTGGCTTGGGCACATGTATGTTGACATTGTTGACAACGCGACAGAATGGAAGGAGCTTGGGGCAGGGACCAGTACCCTTGGGGGTCAGCCCCCCAGCCCCCTGGCCACAGCACCACAGTCATCTCACCTGCCATTGATGGGGCTGGGCTAGGCAATCTTGGCTTTAGTGGTCTCTGATCAACCGAGGAAACCTGGAGTTAGCTTTTATTTCATATCACACATCAATTTCTCCTCTCCTTTCTGCTCAATTTGCCTATGGTTCCCAATTCCACTGATGGAAGCTCTCAGGGCAGAGTACAATAATGACCTCGCGCACAGACCCGCCGTGTCTCCTGCACAGAGGGTGGGCGTCCTACCACAAGGTGACAAGGCTGTGCCTTCCACTCCCTTCAGCTAAACAGCCCCAGCAATTGATTTCCTTGTGATTAGGGAAATGCCTGCTTTTTAGGATGCGCCACAGTGCTTAGGTGTTATTTCTCTGTCTCCTCTCCAAGGAAATACATGCTGAATTAAGTTTTGTGTTTTTGTTCACGCTCAGCAGCACCATTGAAAGCCAGGATTTCACCAGCTGTGTCGTGGCAGCAATTGCAGGAGGAGAGGAACAGAATAAATTCTGCCAGGGCAATTTGCATTCGCGCGTAGGAGAGCATTGGTCCCTGGGAGAGGACGTGGGCTGCTTTGGATTTTCAGGCAGTGTGACAGCCCTTAGAAAGAAATGCTTCCTAACAGGCCTTCTTCTGTCCTCCCAGGCCTGGGCTGATGCCTTTCGAAGCAGTCCTGACCTCACTGGTGTTGTGCACATATACGAGGAGCTGAAGAGGAAAGGGGTTGAATTCCCCATGGCAGACTTGGACGCTCTGTCTCCTATACACACACCACAACGGGTAAGCTTCCAGCTGGCATTTTCTAGGGAGACCTACTGCAGAACAGGCGAGCCAGGCTGCTGCCACCACCCTTCTGCTGCTCCCTTTGAATTATTCAGCTTGTCATCATGCTTTCTTAAAGCTCGAGGGCATTCCTTTTTAATAACAAGGGGAATGCAGGAGTGAGACAGCTGGTTGACTGGTGATTAAGTGGCAGCAGTGTCTCCCCACACCCCCACCTTCCGCTGTTTTCACCCTGACTGGGGAAGAACATAATAGCAGGATCAGTTTGGAGTTTTCATGGAAATGGCTACTTGGGCCGAGCCATCCTGTGGGGGTCATTAGTACCTGCTTTTCAGAGTCCCATACAATCGGGTATGGGAATCCTGTCTTCATTTCCCTAGAATCCCCCACCAGAACAACTCAGAGCAATGTAGAGGGGTTGACATCACTAACGGGGCAAAGAGCAGCTTTCTGGTTTTTCAAATGGATCTAAAATTTATTTTGAGCTATGAGCATTCAGCATCAATTCAGACATCCTTGGATTCCATCAGCCTTGGGACTCAAACCCCAGGAAAGGCCCATTTAGCGGCATCTGCTGAAACTCTTACAGTGCCAACAGTAACTCAAGGGCCACAGATGGCGCAGCTCTGTACTTCAGGATTACAAGCTTGTGGGCCACGCCATTCCCAGGGTTGCTGGGAATCAGCTCCATTCCGAGCCCGGGGGGAGAAGCAGGAAAGCTCCAGGATGTGGGAGAGGCACCTCATCAGAGTACCCTTCACTTGCCAGCCCCCACTTCCATCCCTGAAATGTGGGCCCCGAGAAGGACCACACGTCTGTGCGTGTCTCTTGTGGGGCCACATGAGTCAGTGTTCTAGAGGTTGTCTGAGATGCCCAGAGGGAAAGCACAAGGAATTGCACTTTCCAAAGCATTCTTCTCACCCTGATCCCTCCAAACCACGTACTATGCTTTGTGAAATAAACATAACCTGTTTTATTCTTCTAATAATGACACAGAGCAGTGTTGCTGCTCCTATAATTACAAAGAACATTTGGTAAATTGCGTAATAACTATTTATATTAGTCTGCTTGTAAAGGCCAAAATGTAATCTTATGGCACCAAATAAGGATTCGTGATTAGCAAAAGCTAACAACAGCCCTCCCTTCATTCGGATCCTGAGGTGGTCTTAATAGTGGGAATTGTGACCAGGGCACTCACAGAGCGCTCTTGGCCTTGCCTGCTGGAGTTGCTTTGGTTGTCTGCCGCATACCCCTTGTGAGGTAAGTGGACAGAAGAGCCGTTGGTAGCCCCACTTCCCTGATGGAGAGATGGGGCTCCACGAGCCTCCCCAGGGCAGCAGCGGGGCTGGGCCTCTACCCTCTCCACAGGCAGCTCTGACGAGAAGTGCTGCCCGGGGTGGGGTAGGTGCCAGGCCCAGCTTGCAGGTGGCCCAAGTGAACAGAGGACTTTTTGTTGCCATGCCAGAGCGTCCCTGAAGTGGATCCAGCCGCGACCATGTCCAGGTCCCAGTCACAGCAGAGGACGAGTGCCGGCTCCTATTCCTCGCCGCCTCCTGCTCCCTACTCCGCTCCCCAGGCCCCGGCTCTCAGCGTGACTGGCCCCATCACGGCCAATTCAGAACAGGTACTTGCATACTTCCGGGCCACAGGCAAGTCAGCTGACCGTCCTCGTTCATCTTCTAGGAGACACGGACGGAGGCCTCCCCGGGGCAGGCACTGTGCTAGGTGTTGGGGACAGAGATGGGAGGGCCCAGTCCCTGGGGGAGACAGATGCCAAGATAGTCACAACCGAGTGTGCTCACGCTCTGGTGGGGAGCAGAGCCGAGTGCTCAGTGTCATGAGCCCTGAGTTGAGCAGTGCCTGGGACGGCACCCAGGGAGCTGACATGCCGAGGGTCCTACAACAGGTGAGGCATCAGGCACGGCAGTGGCATGGGCATGGCAGAGGTGCGGGGCTCTCTCAGGGAGAAGCAGGTGGCTTGACTGGAGAGCAGGTGCGTATGGAGAGCCAGGTCAGGGAGGAAATAGTGGCAGGAAGTGAGACCAAAAGCATAGGAGCACAGCTGAGTTGCAAACAGGCTTGTCTGTCATGCAGAGGCTTAGATTTGTCCTGTAAGAAACGTCGGCTATCAGGGCCAGTACCCAATCAGCGAAGCACTTGTGGAGGCAAAGGCTAGAATCAGGGAGGCCTTCCTCAAGTGCACTTCCTGCCTTTGTCCCAAACGTCGCCCACCTTCCCTCGATTCCTTCCTGATAAGCTAATGCAATTTTAACCCCAAACTGGATTTTTTAGATGAGTTATGGAGATTGCTCTTTAGATGAATCTATAGAATTCCCTTTAGTTAAAATTTGAGAATTGGTCAGACTTGAAAAAATCTATCCAATGCTTGTATGTTCAAAGTCCTTATTTACCATGGCATAATTATGGAACCTCACGCGATTGTGTGTAGGTGATGGCAGTGTTGTGTCAGGGCCGCGTGCTTTTCGCCTCTCTGCTAGCGGTGTGAGCAGGAGAAGTAAACTCGAAGTCACACAGGCCTAGCCATGAGCCCCCACGCTGCTACTCACTGTGAGGCTTCGGTCGGGACGTTTAACTCAATCTCCTGTCAGTGAACAGGTGACCCTTCCCTCCTGCCCCACAGGGCAGCCGTGGCTTGACAGGCAGATAGGAGGGGTCCTCGTGCTAGCCACCCAAGTGCTGTGTGTGCTTCTGGGGGAGGAGGTCCAAAGCCACAGCTGACACGTGGGGTTTGCGCTAACTGTGGCCTGGTTCACTGATCTCTGCCCTTCCTCATTACCCACACTGGCAAAAAAGGGAAACTGTGGGGAAGAAGGCCTTTTAGGGGCTGCACTGTTCCCTTTCTGCTCCGAGGGAAGGCAGAAACTGTTCAAAGTCGGAGAGTCGCTGGGCAGCGGGTGCTTGGGAAAGGCCCTCCCAGTGGCCAGAACGGTTAGAAGAGAATGTGGAATGAGTGAGGAGATGCGGTGGTGCAGGATGCCCTGTTCCCAGGGAGGACAGGGCAGAGGCAGACAGGTAGGCACCCAGCCTGGCCAAGAAGCCCTAAGGCTTTAGAGCCCATGTGGTCATTAACTGTAGCATTCCTAGGCCTCCCTCGCCAGAAACTTCTTTTCATCCAAGACTTTGGAGGAAACCCCTGGGCCATCTACCAGACAGAGCCAGAGGCTGACCAGTGCCTCTTGGGACCTAGACCACCACCCCGGCTGACCACTGATTGGGGTCCCTGTGCTGAGGGCACAGAACTCAACCCAGCAGAGTTCCTGCCCTGAGGAGTTCCCGGTCTGTTGAGGGATGCCACCAGCACAGGATGGGCCGCCGTGGCTGCTGCGGCACAAGGCCATACGATGGGGACCAGGAGGAGGAGGTGGGAGTGGTCACATCGACCACAGGATAGCCGGGGAGCATCACAGAGGCTTTGCTGAGGAGAAGACGCGCTGCTTTAGCTGGAGCGCAGTGCGGGAAGAGCGACCTCACACTTCTGCTCTCTGCACACTGGAGCAGGAACAAGGTCATACATGTACAGTAGAGGGCACATGTGTGTGCCAGGCCATGTGGGCATTCACAGCAGCCCTGTGAGGTGTGATTTATTATCACCTTTCCATGGGTGAGGAGACGGCAGCTCAGAGAGATCCAGGTTCATCTCTGGATGTTGCTGCTACTCTAGAGCTCCTGGCTTTGAGGAGTGCCAATGGATGGGCAGGTGGGGTGTTTTTCAAGGGGTTATGTTACCAGGTAGGGAGCTGGGTGGAGATGGGGTCTCCACTGTGGTCTTCTCCTGCTCTCCCTCTGTCATTCTTGCCATATCAGAAAAGTGCTGTTGACACTGGCCAGCCCCTCAGAAGATCATAGTATTTAGACAATAAAATTCCTAGGGGCAGAGTCCGTAACTCTGAGGTTTGTAGAATAGGATCTCAGCCCTAGGGGCTTTCAGACATGCTTCTCTCCCACACTTGGATTCTAAAAAGAGGAACAGAGGCCCTGAGAGGTTAAGCTCCTGCTCAAGGTGCTGTGGTGGGGGGCCAAGATGGAGAGCTGACTCGGTGTGCTGCTGACCTGGCATCTTCGCTGCACAGTGCTGCCTCAGCGTCACAGGCAGAGAGGCACTGTGACAGACTGTTGTGGCTCTTGCCCTAGCAGGCAGGCTGAAGAGAGATAAGGCGGCCTGTACAGTGTGTACTTAGAAGGATGGCCTAGATTTCCCAGTGAGGGGACTGTCACCAGCCTGGGGAGCAAGCTGGTTCTGATATTCTAGGTGCAGGCTGACTGACTTTCCTTCCTGCTTTCCTTTCCCGGCCCCCAACAGATTGCCAGACTGCGGAGTGAACTGGATGTTGTTCGAGGAAACACTAAAGTCATGTCTGAGATGTTAACAGAAATGGTCCCTGGACAGGAGGACTCATCTGATCTGGAGTTGCTGCAGGTGAGGAGAGACAGTCTCATCTTTGAAAGTGCAGGACCTGGTGGCAGGCCCCACACAGTATGAGGAGGGATGGGCCCAGTGGCCTTGTTGTCGACAGGGACTAAGTCCACGTGGACCCACACTCAGCCTCATGTTGCCTAGGGACAGGTAGAAGCCATTATCGCCATCACTCTTAGAGGCAGTGACCTTCTGGAGGGTGGAGAAAGGATACTGTGAATGCAGGTGGCCAATCTTTTCACTGTGGGGTGAGGTGCTTGAGTGAATAGGTCAGGAGCCAGACTGGCTTGGCGACCTGGTGTGAGTGTGGTAACCTGGCATGAGTGCCTTGTGATGTGCCTGCTGCTGCTGCTGTTTTGTCCAGCTCTTGCTAGTGTTGGCCCCTGAGTGCTACACCTCCCACCTTGCTCCTGGCACACACTTGCTGCCTGTGAAGGCCCCACCCTGTAGGAGTACACATGTCTGGGGTGGCTCAGCCTGGTCCCAAGCTGCATCTTGTAGCCCCCCTTCCTACTCCTGTGGGGGTGAGGGTGGGTGGAGACCTGCGCTCGGCCTAACGCAGAGCACAGCCCGCCAGGCGCTGAGGTGTGCCTGTGAGCTGCGGGCCCTGCTCTGGAGGAGCTCAGCTTTCTGTGGAGACAGGCTGGGAAACAGCTCGTCTCCATGTCACTGCCTCAGGCTGCTCCTGAAGCTGAGATGAGTACCCTTGGCCCTGCCCCTGTGAGGAGCCCCAAGTGGCCTCTCCCTCGCTCCCAGACCGCACTCCTGACACCTGCATCAGACCGGGCTTGCAGCAGGTCTGGCTGGACACGCGCCACACTCCGTGGGCCCCAGCCTCCCCTCAGTGCATCATCATCGGCCTCCGTTCCCGGCCGCGGGAGGGCTCTGCCGGGCATGAGCCAGATGCACAGGAATCTGAGGTCAGTCCAGACACGGAGGGGGCCTCTTGAGGCAGCTTTGTGCTGTGTCAGCGTCGGAATTCCTGCTGACAGGGGGGTTTGCTCTGGACAGAGCTGAGCTCCTGGCAGCAGGAGATGTGTTGAACAAAGCCAAGATGCTTCCAGACAGCCAGAGCAGACCCAGACAGCAGGAATACTCCACGAGCGCGTGCGTGTTTGTGTTGTGTGTGTGTGTGTGTGTGTGTGTGTGTGTGTGTGTGTGTGTGTGTGACTGTGAGGTTATTTTTTTTCTTTTGGTTTTTTTGTCTTTTTTTTTTTTAAACAAGCCCATCAGCCAAGATAAACAGAACCTAATCTCCTGGCGTCAGCTCTTGGTTTTCAAAAATAGGTTGCTTCCCATGACGTTTTCCTTCCCTCTGTTTTGTTCCAACTCTGAGCCTACCAGCCCTCACTGCTATCTTATAAATCAAACAGAAAAAGAATGATTCTGGGTGCCAGCAGAAGGCTGTCCTTCCAGCACGGGAGATGCAGAGGTTGGGTAGCACTGTGAACAGCTGTGCACAGACACGGCTCTCCTGGCTGGAGGCCTCGCGCCTCAGCCATCCCTGACATCTTCCCTCCTCTTCTTCCCCTGGCAGTGAGAAGCCAGCGGGCAGGGTCTGAGCCACACTGAACAGTGAGCCTTACGCGTGGGAAAATGCCACCGCCTGCTTAGAGAGTGCAAGGAGCAGAATTATTCCCCAGGACCCTCCATCAAGCTGGAGGGCAGCCAGAGTGCTCAGGGCAGGAGCAGCCCAGAGCTCAGATGCTGGCCAGGGCCATGGAAAGAGACACATTTGTCACCAACTCAAATGTCTCCACCAACAGACGCTGCTCCCGACTGGAGTATAAATTGCTGGGTAGGAGGCGGAGAGAAGGGGAAGAGAGGTAATTGGTGGTGTCGGGCCTGGAAGCACCGGTGTAGCTGATCATAACTGTGGGCGGGGTATATCCCAGTTGCCGCCTGCGTGTCACAGACTCTCTCAGGTGTAGCTCCCACAGCGCAGCCAGCGCAGCGGGGAAGCTTGCTGTGTGAACGATTTGCCTGCAGACTCACGGGTGGGTGGCTGGTCTTCGAGGAGAGGCTGAGGCCACTCTAGCACCCTGCGCTGTCAGCTTAGCTGGAGCCCCTGAGGGAAAGGGAGGCGGGATGCCCGGGGTGAGCACAGCAACTCCTCCTCTCGGCTCTGTGTCAAATCTTTCTCTCTCTGAGCTAGTCCAGCTCCACAGCGTGCTCAGATTTCCTCTACAGCATCTTGTCCAGCGCCTGCCTGGTCTTTCTCCATATCCCCAAGGACAGGCTGTTCACAGCAGCCCATGGAGTACTTCTGTTTCAAACAGACATCTCAGTTAGACTTTGGGAAGCAGCACAGCAGGGTAGAGAGACCACAGGCTTATGAATCACTGGGTTCCTGTCCTTGTCTTCACACTGATAAGCTAGGTGACACCAGGCAAGTTACCAGCACTCTCTGAGCCGCCTCTTGCTCAGTTGACTGGAGTGATTACTCTCACCGTGGCAGTGCCTTGCACAGGGCTGGGCCAGGCGAGGCCTCACTGATTGCAGTTTCCGTGACTACCCTTGGAAAGCCCTTTCACACATTGAGCTAAATTCTGTCTCCCGGTAACTTTGACCGTGGTCTGTCTTCTTAGACCACAGAACAAAACTAATTCCTCTTTCACATGGGTAGGTCCTTAAATATTTGAAGATTTCCATGAGCCCTACTCACTGCCCAATCTCTACATGGAACAAATGTGGTTGTTGGCACCCCACCATGGAGATGAACAGGCAGTTCTTCATAAGAGGTGGACATTGTAAAATGGCGAGCCTCCATCAACTGTTAAAACACTGCTCCATCTCCTTCTTGCATGGCTGTTAAGCCATATCTTCCCCATCCTGTGTGTGGATGCTTGGGTCTGGACCTGAAATTCAAGACCCCACATTGTCCCTGCTTAAGTGCATGCCCTTAGCTGCTGAAAGCCTGAGTCCAGCTTTCTGGAACTTAAAAATCCTGATCCTGCCATCCAGTGCCTTCTGTCTCTCCTTATTTAGTCTTTCAAACTTTGTCTTCAATTAATAATAACTTTTATTTAACCTAATTATGCCAAAAATATATGTTCTTTTCTTTAATTTTTTGAGATAGGGTCTTGCTACAGCCTCAAATAAGCGATCCTCCTGCTTCAGCCTCCTGAGCAGCTGGGACTATAGTCATGTGCCACTGTGCCTGGCTAATTTTTCTGGGTTTTTTGGTTTTGTTTTTAGTAGAGACAGGGTCTTGCTATGTTGCTCAGGCTGGTCTCAAACTCCTGGCCTCAAGTGATCCTCTCACTTTGGCCTCCCAAAGTGCTAGGATCACAGGCATGAGCCCCCGCCTGGCCAAAATGTATGTTCTTATATGACTATCCATCAGATATTATAATAAAACAAGCCCTCCTCCATGCTGTGTCTTCAAGTAACAGATGGTATATCCCCTCTTACTTCTTGCATCTTATTTCAACAAAGACAAAATGGTCAAGGCCGTTTTCTCTAGAGAAATATATTTTTTGTTTGTTTGTTTTTGAGACAGAGTCTCGCTTTGTTGCACAGGCTAGAGTGAGTGCCGTGGCGTCAGCCTAGCTCACAGCAACCTCAAACTCCTGGGCTCAAGCAATCCTGCTGCCTCAGCCTCCCAAGTAGCTGGGACTACAGGCATGTGCCACCATGCCCGGCTAATTTTATATATATATATATTAGTTGGCCAATTAATTTCTTTCTATTTATAGTAGAGACGGGGTCTTGCTCAGGCTGGTTTCGAACTCCTGATCTCGAGCAATCCGCCCACCTCGGCCTCCCAGAGTGCTAGGATTACAGGCTTGAGCCACCGCGCCCGGCCTGAGAAATATAGTTTTATTCTACACGTTTAGCTTCATTATTCCCCCTTTCTCATCAACAAAGACTTCTTCCTCCCTTCTTTAGAGCAACAGAAAACAGATCTTCAGGACATGATCCCATGTTCCTTCAAACTTGCAGAAGGCTCAGAGGAAACCTGTAAAGATGATTAAAAGACTGTTTTTTGAGGTGGGGAGGAGAATGTCCCTTGAAGAGAAGATAAAGGCATTGGGATTAATTAGACAGAAAAGAGAGGATATTGAATAAGGTGTTCTGGTAGATGGAGGGCTTTTGTACAAGTGACCAGCTCTTCTCCCCTCTGAACCAGAGATAGAGGGAGGCCAAAGCTGAAATCTTCAACATTTAGGAAATTCCTGTCCTCGCTTTGGTACCGTGGGAAGGGTGACCCAGGCAAGCCATAGGCTTTCAGGTGTTTTAGGCCAGAAGAGAGTCACTTCATCTGGGTGGTTTGGAGGCGGATGAGGCCGAGGAAGGTCGCTCAGCCGAGCCTGCGGTGGTCTGGCCATGATGACTGTGCAGAAGCTGTGTGGACAGCCAGCTGTCACTGTGGTGGGAGGAATCTTAATGTCTGGCCCTCCTCTCACCTCCTGTCTCTTTTCTTTTTTCTTCTTTTTTTGAGACTGTAAGTTAAAAGGCTGAAGCCAAGAGTCGGCAAAGCTGTCTCTATGCAGAGACCCCTGAAGACCCCTGTGCAGAAGCCCCATCGCTGACCCAGGCTCTTGGGGCCTGTCTTTGGGCATAGCTCTGTGGAAAGCTAGCAGGATGCTCCCGCAGGGTTGGGGCATGGAAGGCTTTGCCTGTGGGGCTGGGGATTGTCTTACCCAACTCTCAGCAGGAAGACAGTGGGAAGAGAGGCAGCAAATGCAAGGCCAAAGCAGATGTTTCTGGTGCTTAGAGTTGATGAGATCACTGCCTCCTATGCCCTTGGGTCTCGTTCTGCCTCCAAGACCAGATCACATCAGCTAATATTTTCTAGATATTTTTTGAAAGTAACGGAAACCTTTCCACTACAAATAAAACTCTACAGTGAATGGCAATGTTTAAAATGGGTAAGATACTTGGCCATATCAGTTTGCAAGAAAAATAAATAAATAAATAAATAAATAAAATAGGTAAGAGCAGAGCTGCCCTGGCTGCCACTGGGGGCAGGGGATCTGACCCTGTGCCGTGAAGGCTGTGGAGGTGGCTCTGCTGGTGCTCTGCGAACTTCGCGCACCCACCCCTCACTTTGCACAGTACCGCAGACTTGGCGAGCGTGTCCGGGCATGGGCCACTGGCTCCCCAGCAGCCAGCTGGGCCTGTGCGTTGTGGGGAGACGGAGGTCAGCCCCTCTCTCTCCCACTCGGTGCTTCCTGTGCTGGATATTTTCAAACATACAGCAAAGTAGAAAAAATTTTACAGTGGACATTGTATGTTTACCACCTAGATTCTACCATTAACGTTTTATAGAGTAAGACCTATCTCAATAAAAAATAATAAAAGTTAATCCTAAATCCATGCTCCCTTGTCGGCTCTAAGTAGATGCTCACTGCACTTTAATGATGTGCGAGAAATACTATGATTATTCTATGTCATTCACTTCAGTCCTGGCTGTTGGAATCCTTCCCATGATCTCATGTGATCACCTCTTTCATAAGTTTGGACATTTTTATTTTGTTTTAATGTTGTTGAGGGCCTGCCCTACCTTTTAGTGTCTCTCATGGGCACACTTCATTTCTGTAATTAGGGTTTCCATTGTGTTGTTGGTTTTCCTGTGTCCTGTCATCGCCCAGTGACTGGGTTTGACTTGTAGCAGTCCACTGTGCCTATGGCAGTTACTGTGTGGCAACCTGTCACTGACAGAGACCTGGCCAGGCTTCGAGGCCCAGGCCAGTTCTCGAGTGCCCCTCTCTTGGCTGGCCTTGGGACGTGAGCCACTCGAAGTAGAATAGAATGGGTATTTTGTCCTTTACTCTTCACTGGATATCAGTGTCCTCTGTGATTAATTTCCAGTGTTCACCTCTTGTTGTCAACCCCAGCACTTGCCTATATGTTTATAAATGCTTACTGCTGCTTCGGTGAGGCCTGGGGTGAGTGCTAGAGAGGGAAAACTAGATTCCAGATGACCAAGAATTCCCTATTCTCTGAAGGAAGGGTACTGGGAAGAAGGCTGAGCTTATGTGGATAACTGAGAGAGGACAGTGATGAGGAGCTGGTGGTTTGGGGAGATCAAGGGTCAAGGTGCTTTAGGGTCAAGGTTCCCACGGCCAGCTGAGTGGAAACCCCAGCTTGGCTGCCTCGGACACCTTCCCCCTCCAGCGCCAACTACCTTTTCCCTGCTGCATCTCTGCTGCTGGTGGGAATGTTACCTGGCTGGGCTGCTGTGACCCGAGCTGGTTCCTGGGAGCCACTGTCACCTAAAGCACTTCATTGTTGGGGGAGGGAGAGAGAGAGAGAGATTGTGTCAGGTGATTTGCTCAAAGCCTCCTACTCCTAGGGATGACGCTGCCTTCTCTAAAACCTAGGATTGGAGTCTTAGGAAAACCAAGAGTGGGAGTCTGTGGCCAGGCGCGGTGGGTCACTGCAGTAATCCTAGCACTCTGGGAGGCTGAGGCGGGCGGATTGCTCGAGGTCAGGAGTTCAAAACCAGCCTGAGCAAGAGCGAGACCCCATCTCTACTATAAATAGAAACAAATTAATTGGCCAACTAATATATATATGGAAAAAAGGATCCGGGCATGGTGGTGCATGCCTGTAGTCTCAGCTACTTGGGAGGCTGAGGCAGAAGAATCGCTTGGGCCCAGGAGTTTGGGGTTGCTGTGAGCTAAGCTGATGGCATGGCACTCTAGCCCAGGCAACAGAGTGAGACTCTGTCTCAGAAGAAAAAAAAAAAGAGTGGGAGTCTGTTCAGAGAGAAATCTGTAGGTCCAGACACTGGGCTTGCTTCACCATTGACCAGGAGAGACTCACAGCCCCATTCTGGCTGTGCAGAGGACTAGAGCCAGGTAGAACCAAGACAAAGGGCAGCATTGCCATTGCCGGACAGGGTCCACCAAGGTAAGCCAGAGTCTCTAAAGGAAGCATTTTTCTTAAGGTGAACTCTAGACTCTAGTGTATCTAGCTGCCTAAATCCAGGTCTCCTCTGCCCTGACAAATATAGTTGTCTCCACCCTCAGGGAGGGAGCCCTTGGGTCCTGAGGAGCGGTGGGAAGAGAGACAGCAGAAGCAGACTGCAGTCCACGAAGGCTAATCTGCTCTGTGATGAGCAGGTGTGTCAAGGTCCCTACCTTGCTACTACCTGCAGTATTGAGCTTGGATACACAGGGCCCTTCGGCACTATATGTGAGGAAACACTATCCTGATACCTTGGGCTGAGTGTGCGTGGGAGGAATGCAGCTTGCCTTCCTTGGGGCACTTGGGGAGTGCGTCCTGAGTGTCAGCGTAGCTACTGGGGAAGCAGGGAAGAGAGGCCTTCTGTCCTTGAGCAGCTTCAGTCTAGAGGGAAAGGCAGATAAGGAGCCCACCCCCCATGTGTGAGTCCCGTGTCTCAGGGTACAGGGAGCATGTGGCCTTTGATTCCCTACTTTGCTTGTTTGACCACTTTGGTGTTGTGATTCAACAGACGATTGCTGAGCTTGTTCACTGTATGTGGCTTAGTGCAGGGCTTAAGGGCATCCGTGGGTGGGTAGATAGATGACAACAGCCCCTTCAAGGAGTTTATGACCTGGTAGGAGGGAAAACCTTTGAGCCAAGCTAGCCAGATTATGAGACAAGATGCAGAGCTAAACAGAGATTGCCTGTGTCTGCTATGAATAGATCAGTTATTTCTACCAGAAACGATTTCAAAATGAGGTGGTTTTAAGGCCGAACTATGAGAAGGAGGGACTTCTCCTTCATTCCTTGTCCCCTTATCTCATGGGCTCATCTGTTCCCTCCAGTGCCCAGGTAGGTGGGTATAGCATCTCGTCTCTGCTTTAACCCTGTATGGCCTATTGGGACCTGGAGCTTTGGTCACAGGCAGTTCCTGTGGTCACGGATGCTGAGGGGCCAGCCTGGCAGGGTTGCCAGCTCCCTCTTCTGTAGTGTCCTCAGTCTGGCATACAAGATGGCATGGAGCCTGGCAGGTATTTGAGGGAGTTTCACAGGCAAGTTTAAACAAGAGCACTGGTGAGACTGCTGTTCTGGGGCAGGAAAGGCTCGTGGAAGCCAGGCCATAGTGTGCTAAAGCTCTGTCTTCAGGGGGACGCTGCTTGCTTCCCAGGGTAGAGAGGGCTCCAGTGGTGACTGGGAGTGTGTGTGTGTCATCTTTGGCCTGCCAGGTGGCTGTGTGGGAGCATGCTGAGCTTCTGAGACCTCAGCAGGGTGGCAGACAAGCCATCAAAATGTACCTTATGCAGTCATAAAATATACTCATGCTGTTGCTAGAAATAAACTGATGTTATCTTTTTGGAGGCCTTTTCCTATTACCAATCAATATTCTAAGTGACCATACCTTTTCATCCAGAAATTGTACTTCTAAGGAACCTGTGCTATGGAAGTGCTGACTCACGTGTGTAAGCATGTATGTGTGCAAATGTTCACGCCCCATTATTTGGGTTGGCCAAAAAAAGAGAGACCACACGTAAATGCCCAGCAACAGAAGAATGGTGAGACACATTATGATACACATGCAAAAGAATGGGGCAATCTGTACAAAGTGATGGGAAGAGGTATCTGGAATATTTTATTGAAGAGAAAAAGCAAACTACAAATAATCACATTTTAATATTTTTAAATGATTTATGCAAACATGTGCTTATATATATACAACGGTGTGGCTCTGTGGACGTTTCTCTGTCTACCGATAGAGTGAGTACTCATTTCCTCTGGGGCAGGAGGGGCAGACAGTGCGGCAGGACCTTCTATTTGTATTCTACACACGTCTGGTATTATGAAGACGCATGTACTCCTTTTGTGACTTTTAAGAATCAGTACAAATTTTTTTCAAAGGCAATAGAATGTGACAAAAAGCATACCCAGCAGGCTATCCAGAGGTATGTGTGTTTCCTAGGAGCTGAACAGGACCTGCCGGGCCATGCAGCAGCGCATCGTGGAGCTCATCTCCCGCGTGTCCAACGAGGAGGTCACAGAGGAGTTGCTGCACGTCAACGATGACCTCAACAACGTCTTCCTCCGATATGAGAGGTAGGAGCCAGATTCCTTTTTTTTCCCCTTGAAAAGATTGTTGCCATAACAGGGGGATTTCTTTCATAAACAAAGGCGACAGAGAGAGAGAGAAAGAGAGAGAGAGATTAGAGTTGGAAAATACTCATCAGAGATGCTAATTTGTTCCCGGCTGACAGGGAAAATGCTTCTCGTTCTCCTGGGAGCCAAGCAGCAGAAGCAGCAGGAAGTTGACGTGCAGAATCAGGCTCTGCCCTCTGTGAGCCTCAGGCTGCTCCTCTCCCCACCACCCTGGCCCAGGGAGGAGGAGGACTTGGGGGGTCTGGGCCCCAGAGCTTCTGCACCTGCTCCTTTGATGATCCTTTGAATTTGAAAAAGATTAAAGGGAAAAAAATCTCTACTAAGAAAAAGGATCTCCTCTTTCCCATCTTTAAAAAAAGAAAAAAGCCTTTTCTTTTGCAAATGTCAGTGTCATCTAGAGTGTTCAGGGGAAGCAGGCAGGGTGTAAGTGCCAGAATGCTGCTGCTTAGGGCAGCACGCACACATTCATTTCAGTTCTTTCTGCAGCCAAATCATTTTGGGGTTTGAGGTAAAAAACTTGCAATTTTTTTTTCCATTTCCAAGGCCAAAGTCCAAAGTGTCTTGTTTAGACCTAGTTTTAAATAGGAAGTATAATGGCAAACACAGTTCCCATCACCCTGATGGGTACACCTTGGGCTTTCCTGAATCACCCAGTGTCAGGACCAGAAAGGACCTTGACCAGCCGAACTTCTCCCCTTAAAGCTGAGGGCTGAGAGGGTGGGACAGTGGCCGGAGTCTCCTGCAGACTTGAGGTCCTGGCCCCCTCAGCCACACCCACTGACTCAAGCTTGCAGTATGGATTAATCAGGAGGACAAGGATCCAGTATCACTTAGGGTCATTGGAATGGATATTTGCATTTGCACTGCCCTTTGGAGTCTTAAAGGGTGAATGTTGTGGTTTCATAACCCAGGCTTTGTCTCAGCTTTTGACCATGGAAGGAGAGCTGGGTCAGATGGGAACTGCTTGTGCCCATCTGACAGGTGAGGAAACCTCTGCAGTGAGAGTGTGGGGCCCCAGGAGCCCCCAATGTGTCAGTTGGAGAACAGGAGCCATCTGAGGGGCCTCTACTCCTACCCCGAAGCCCCTTTGTCTTGCCATGTGGTTCCAATTTTTCCATGTTAAGTAGCTTGGGTTTTAACCTGTTAAACCCATTTAAGCCCCTGCTAGAGGATAACAGGAGCTAGCTAACATGGGCATTTTCACTCACGAGTCTGCCAGTCCTAGTATTACAAAGAATGCAGAGGCCAATCCTGGGGCCCGTGTCCCATAGGGGCATAACTATCCTGGTTAGAGTGCCTTTGATAAGACTAATTCTTCCTCTGAGAGAGTATGGGGAAGGTGCCAGAGGATTAAATTTTTTCAGGTATATTAATATTCCCATTATCCTTATAGACCACTGTTGCAAAAAACCACATAAGTCTTTCTTTCTTTTTTTTTTTTTTTTTTGTTGAGACAATCTTGCTCTGTTGGTGGAGCTAGAGTGCTGTAGCGTCAGCTTAGCTCACAGCAACCTCAAACTCCTGGGCTCAAGAGATCCTCCTGCCTCAGCCTCCCAAGTAGCTGGGACTACAGGGTTACACTACCACGCCCAGATAATTTTTTCTATTTTTGGTTGCCCGGCCAATTTCTTTCTATTTTTATAGAGATAGGGTCTCACTCTTGCTCAGACTGGTCTCAAATTCCTGGCCTGAAGCAATCCTTCCACCTCAGCCTCCCAGAGTGCTAGGATTAGAGGTGTGAGCCACCTTGCCCAGCAAAGATAAGTCTTTCTTAAAGCCACAGTGGACACTCCCTGCCTAACCAAATTGTTCCTCCTGGGAATCCCTTGTCACCAGATGTTGGCCCCAGCAAGTTGGGAGACAAATGTGGAGCAGTGTACCTCACTAAAGCCCAGTTTCTCGGGCTCCACCTGGAAAAAGTCTCTTGGCTACCTCTTTGCCCATGGCATTGTGGAGCTTTGAAATACTATGCAGAACATGATGTTTTCTCTCCTAGCCCTACATACACTTCACAACTGCCCTTCCGTTTCCCACCAGGTATGAGGATGACTTGGGTATGGGAGAGGAGAGGCCTTCCACAGCTGTTCAAACCCAAGTCCTGTCTACACAATGACTGGGTGCAGAGGAGACCCGCTCTGCCCTGCCAGCAGCCCCTCCGTGGCTGGCCCAGACCTCCCCACAGCTACTGGCCATTTTACCAGGCCGTCTTCCTCCTCTTGGTGCCTGCCCCATGCACACCCTACTCCCTTTCCTCCAGAGGTTGAATTGGGGACATTTTAGCAACACTAGCAAGTTGCTCCCCAGCACAGCTCTGGAATAGGGAGGGGTCTGCAGTTATTGCCTGGACATTTGAGACCCCCCCCAAGGTAAAGTGGCTGACCCACACTCCCTCCAGAGGCGAGAGGAGCACCCTGGATCTGGGTGTGTGAGGCGACCCTACGGTGCTCATAGGCACCTCCTCGATGGGCCAGCCACCACCCTTCCCTCATGCTGACTCAGGTTGCCGTGTAACAGGCTGATCCTCTCTGGGGGAGCCCTGCGCAGAGGAGAGTGGCAAAGTTGTGTGTGTCTGAGTCTGTGCCCCCAGCCCACAAATGGGATTGGCTGGCCTTGGGCCCAGGGACTCTGCACAGGACCAGTGAGCACCCACTGGCATGTCCCGACATCCTCTCTCCTCACTTCTGCTTTCTCTCTCTGGCAGGTTTGAACGGTACAGGTCGGGCCGGTCAGTTCAAAATGCCAGTAATGGGGTAAGTATTCCTTTAGAATTGTCTCATCTCCTGAGGCTGGGCCCCTCCATGTTGTAGAGGCTAGGGAGACCAGCTTTGGGTTGGCCTCACCTCTGGTTTTTCTCACTGGGGTTAAAATATTTGGGTAACTGAAGAGCAAGCTCTGGTGGATGGGGTGATGGGGAAGAGCTAGCAGGCACCCCTGATGGGAAGGTAACAAGGAAGCTCCCAGGACAGTCACTGTCCTGGTGCCTCAGTGCTGCCTCCTTCAAATGGGGACAGGGAGGAGGCTCACTGACAGCAGGGGCACCACAGACCCTGAAGGCAGGTGAGAGAAAGGCATTGCTTCCGGCCTGGTGCAGCCGATGCTTTTCCTCTGGGAAAAGTTCCTGCACAGTTGCCTGCTGGCCTTCAGCGTGGAGCCCGACTCGAGGGCTCTGGGGCTCACTTCCAGTCTCATGTTCTGACAGGTACTGAATGAAGTGACTGAAGACAACTTAATAGACCTAGGGCCAGGGTCTCCAGCTGTGGTGAGCCCGATGGTGGGGAACACAGCACCCCCATCTTCCCTCTCCTCCCAGCTTGCAGGCTTGGGTGAGTATCTTGTAGCGGCGTAAAGGGCCTCCACCACTGGCTTCCTTTCTAGGCCACTTCTCTCTCTTCCTGGAAGGCCCGAAGAGAGCCTTTTGGGGAATCCATGTGAAAGTGTATTCCTGAGTCGTGGCCAATTGTACCACCTTCAGTTCATAATTTCTTTCCCTAAATTTGATGTTTAAACCTGTGTTGAAAAGTAGGGATGGAGAAGGTTCCAAGGAATTGAAAGTAGTTTGCTTTTTAAAGAAAAGTAGTCTGTTGTGTTTTATCTGGAACATTCCCTGTGGTTGAAGTGATTTCCTTTTCAATATTAACTGGGTCAAGAATGGCAAATAGTTTTCAGCTCATTGGCTGTTTGGAACACAGGTTTGAGGAAGATGCCACAGCTACATCAGGGTTTAGAAGAGTCTGCAATTGATTGGCAATGTCTGCAGTGGGCTTGGAAATAGGAAGTGGTGGCATTGGCACCTTTTTCTTCTTGAACTATACCATCAACCTAAAGTGTTCCATTGTCTGGAACTTAAAAGAAATTCACCACTTTTCTACAGTGCATTCAGTTTTAAAATGTATATATGACCCTAGATGCTTCAGTTATACTGGATGATACCAATTTATAATAAAATTATAGTAGTAAAATAATTAACAAGCATGGTTCTCAAAATTCTTTCCTCTGCTTGGTTTTTTGTTCCCTTTTCTAAATATTCCTTGTCTACTTCATTTCCTTTGAATTGAAGTTAGCTTTTATTAATGGCCTATTTGTTGCATAATTCTAGCTTCTCAATATCACATATATCTGTAGCCACTATTTCTCTGTTGGAACAGATTTCTCTGCCTTCAGTCTATCCAGCTTATATGCTCACCAGATTTAATACAAAACTTCTAATTAGATCTGGCTACCTCTCCTTAAAAAATGTGCAGCATCCTCACCATCCACTGCTTTACTAGCCTGGAGGCTTCATCTGCCACCTCCACCCGCCTTTCCAGCCACCTCCCCTTGCCCTGTGAGCACTGTTCCACATCCTGACCTTCCAGATCGTGTCTTGTATCTGCTTTCCCTTCTCCCCAGCATGCTCTCAGTCATCCTTAAAGACTCACTGTGTTGGTCTTGTGTCTTTCCCAGTGTCTCAAGCCCAGCCCTACAGTTGTCTGTCTGTCTCCTGCCTACTTAGGGAGATTCTTAAGGCCAAGGACCATGTCAAGATTTAATTTTGTCCACTTGAATTGTACTTGAGCCGTGGTGAGTGTAAGAATACATGCTATATGTATGAATAAATGACCCAGGTCCTTGGACATTGTGGTTGATTAATGAGGGCCCACCTTAGAAGGCATTGGGGAAATATGCAGTACACTGGCCCAGGTCCTAGCTTCTCACTACCAGTAATCTTCTTTTCATTGTGATGACTCTTCCTCTCCTTGACCAGCTTGGCAGGCAGTGGCTATTCTGTCCCTATCTGGGCCCTGCCCTGGCTGTTTTGCATGTGATGCATTGGGATTGCCTAGGAAAGTCCTGCCTCCACCCATGGACTGAACCTGCCCAGCTGGTGTACTAGCTTGGGGCCCTCCATCAAATCCACAATCCATGTTTGGTTTCTCATCTGTCCCGTTTGCTTTGTTGCCACAGACTTGGGGACAGGAGAGCGTCAGTGGCACCTCAGTTCACTCCAGCAGTGTGTAAGGCCCGTGATGGCTTTGACATGTTTGCCAGACAAGAGGAATCTTTGCTGAGCAGCGCAGACGTAAGTGGGGCCCCTTCCAGTGGCTCTCAAAGATATTGGGGAGAATTGATCCGGGTTTGATCACAGGCCAGCACAAGAAGCTTTGATTTACCGGCCCAGGAGCCAGAAACTGTGAAGTACAGCTGTGAGGACTTGGCTTAGGTGCAGGGTTAATGAATGCCAACCTCCCACACACACACCCCCCCCTTGAGATTGACTTGAGTGCGATTTCTGTCAGTGTCACAGGAGGTGACTCTTCTCTCCCTTTCTCCCATGTTGCTGCTGCAGACCACCCTTGCCCCACCCTCATCCACAGGAGGAGCTCAGAAGGAGAGGTGCGCAAGGCAGGACTGAACCGGGTTCCTAGCAGCAAGATTTTCTGCCTAAAAAAGTGGTCAGGGCAAGGCTTCTCTCACAGCAGCTCTGGCAAGGATGACCATATGGAACTGGGGGAGTTTTGATTC